GGGGAGGTTGGGTTCGGGTACCGTGGGGTAGGGGAGGTTGGGTTCGGGTACCGTGGGGTAGGGGACGGTGGGTTCGGGTACCGTGGGGTAGGGGAGGGTGGGTTCGAGTACCGTGGGGGAGGGGAGGGTGGGTTCGGGTACCGTGGGGTAGGGGAGGGTGGGTTCGGGTACCGTGGGGTAGGGGAGGGTGGGTTAGGGTACCGTGGGGTAGGGGAGGGTGGGTTCGGGTACCGTGGGGGAGGGGAGGGTGGGTTCGGGTACCGTGGGGGAGGGGAGGGTGGGTTCGGGTACCGTGGGGTAGGGGAGGGTGGGTTCGGGTACCGTGGGGTAGGGGAGGGTGGAGTTGGGTACTGTGGGGTAGGGGAGGGTGGTCGGCGTCACCTCGACGCTGGTGTGGCCGAAGCGGGCGCACGGCGCCTGGGAGGGCAGGGAGAGGAAATGTCTCGGAAATGTCTCGGAAATGTCACGGCCCGGCGCCTGGGAGGGCAGGCGAGCGAGGCGGCGGCTGGGCGCCGCTCCCTTCTACAGTGTCGGAAGTGTCTCTGAAGTGTCTCTGAAGTGTCTCGGAAGTGTCTCTGAAGCGTCTCGGAGTGTCTCTGAACGGTCTTTAAAGCGTCTCTGAAGTGACTGAAGTGTCTCTGAAGTGTCTCTGAAGCGTCTCTGAAGCGTCTCTGAAGCGTCTCTGAAGTGTCTCTGAAGTGTCTCTGAAGTGTCTCTGAAGTGTCGCTAAGGCGTCTCTGGGTGGGCCCGAAGGAACGCCTGCCAAGTATCACGGAGCCCCTTCGAGTTGGATGTGCCAAGGATGCAGAAGAAGGTGCGCGGCCGACGAGGGGGGGGGGGCAGGGGCTGTGGGAAGGCGAGGCGCTGGCACTGCTATCGTGTGCGTGCCGCGCGCCTGCTCGAGCCAGGTCGTCGACGGCACGCCCCAGGTTCTCAGCCCCAACGACGGCGCTCTTGAGCAGCGCGGGGTTGCCCGAGCAGGCAAGGGGATGCCCTCCCAGATGCCCTCGTCGAGCGCGCAGTGGCCTGCATCACGGACGTGGAAGCTGGGCACCGGAACATTTGTGGGGCGACGCACTCACCGCTCGCGCGCCAAGTTCTCTCTCGGGCTGATGAGAAGCGAGTTGACGCGAACGAGCATTCCGGGCGATGAAAAGCGGTCGCGAAGTCGTCGACTCGGGCGGCGCGAAGCCGCATGTAGATTTTGCCAGATGCCGCCGTTGATCTCTGGGGTGTGACTCTGGGCGGGCTGGGCTTGTGTCGAGGGTCTGTGCGTGTCTGTCGGGAACTAGCTTGGGTTTCGAGCTGCTTGCCTGCTTGTGCACCCCTCGCCGCGGTGTGTTGGCGGTCCAAGAGCCGAAATGGGACCTTTCGTGGTCACGAAGGGGTGCAACACACTCAATCTCCGACCATCTCGAGAAGGGGACATTCTTCTCGTTGACATTCTTCTCAGAAAGGATGCTTCCATCGGCTGGGGGTTCTTTTTGCTTGGGGAACTCCCGATGTCAACTCCCCAAGTGGGTGATTTGAGAGAGAGAGATTTTTAGCCGCCGGGTCCTTCGCCATCCTCACTTCGGGCTCCACTGTGTGGGCAAACTGCTCCGCGTTTACCAACCGTCGGCAAGGGCCCAGCTCAATTCCGTTACATTGTATAAGAGTTTTACATACTGTCCCGTTTTGCTGTTCACAGCTAGGGACGGCCTCTGCGGCAAAGTCAGATCACCCCACCGCCCCTACCTACCCCTACCTACCCCTACCTACCGCAGCAAACCTTCGGCTCCCGCTCAGAGGCTCGCCGCGCCCGTGCGGCGCGCCGAGGCGGCGCCGAGGCCGGCGCCTTGCACCCGGCCCGCGGCCGGCACCGCCTCGCCCCACAACTGACCGCCCTGCGGCCCCTGCGCAGGCGTGCCACAGCGTCGCTCAAAAAGCGACGGCCGGGTGTGGACACGAAGGGGTGCAAAGGGGTGCAACACACTCAATCTCCGACCATCTCGAAAAGTGGGTGATTTGAGAGAGAGAGATTTTTAGCCGCCGGGTCCTTCGCCATCCTCACTTCGGGCTCCACTGTGTGGGCAAATTGCTCCGCGTTTACTTCGGGGGCTTCATGAAAAAGACCGGGCAAGCACCGATCTCGTGAACGCGAGATGTCGCAAAGAGAAAAATGAAAAGTATTATCCTAACGGTGTGGGGGCGCGGAGGGCAGTTGGCGAGCCAAAATGGTGTTTTCCGAGGCGCTGCGCTAGGCTCAGAGCGAGTTCGCGCTGCGCTAGGCTCAGACGGCGAGTTCGCGCTGCGCTAGGCTCACAGATGGCGAGTGCGCCGCGATAGATTTGCGCTGCGATGAAAAGACCCCGTTATAGGAGCCGATAACCCAAGGGAGGAAACGCCGCGTTTTCTTCTTGCGTCCAACTCCGGCAGTGTTGGTCCACCAGCATGGCAGCCTCGAGCGACCTGCAGGCTCTGCAGCTTCAGATTCGGAATCTGGAGCAAAAGATCGACTTCCAGCACAGGGAGATCAAAAAGCGCGACATGCACATGAGCGGCCGCACATTGCTCGGTACCCCCCCTGCACATCTAAAGTCATCCCTGCTGCTAGGGGGGGGGGTCTGACCCCCCCAGCAGCAGCGCTCTGCTGCTGGGGGGGGGGGTCCCGACAGAGCGCTGCTGCTGGGGGGGGGGGGGCTCCCACCCCAGCAGCGGGGAATGCTTGAGATGTGCAGGGGGGGTTCCGCGCAATGTGCGGCCGCTCCTGTGCGTGCCGCGCTTTTTAACCCCCTGTGCTGGAAGTCGATCTTTTGCCCCAGATTTCCGAATCCGAAGCTGTAGAGCCTGCAGGGCGCCCGAGGCTGCCATGCTGGTGGACCACTCCGTCGGGGTTTTGACGCTATAAGAAAACCCGGGCGTTTTCCCCCCTTGGTTACGGGCCTCCCA